AAACACTTAAGGTCTCTGCAAAGTGCGCAGACTGAGCTGAACGGCCAACCCTTGCATAAGGCCCTTGTCGATCGAACCCCATACAGGGTTCAGCTGGAGGAGGAGCAAAGGCTTGCAGTATCGCGTGGGGCCCCATGCCATCCCAGTGAATATGTTGGCCGTCAGATTGTAGGGTTATCACGTGAGGCCTCATGCCATTCCGACGAGGCTGGTCGCCTGGTGAATGCACAGCCTCATCCAAACGAAGCAGAATCTCAAGGAAGTTCTTGCGGCCGATGTGGCCTTCCACCCCATCTTCTGCTCCAAACAGACAATGCTGGCAGTGAGAACAAAAACATGTACGTCTTCGCGTACTTGGCGATGCTTGTTGCCAAAGGCATATTTGAAACGGTTACACTTGGCTTTCTCATGGTTGGGCACACTCATGAAGACGTCGATGCCATGTTCAGTCACCTGGCAGAGTCCCTCCGGCGATCCAATGTCCTCACCCTCCCACAACTCTACGATGAATTCCAAAATTGCATCAAAGGCACTGTTGAAGCTGCACTTCTGACAGAGGTTCCAGACTTTAAGGGGTTTGTAAGAGGCTACATCAGGGACGGATCCGAAACGCTGATTGGCCACTCCAAGCCTCTTCAGTTTCATTTCAGCATGTGTGACGGTGCTCCAGTGATGAGGTACAAGATGAGAGAATGGGACACAGTGTGGCTGCCAGTGGACGGCATTGAACTCTTCAAGAGAGATCCCATAACTGGGGAACCTATGATTCCTCAGGGTTCCCCACGGCCGATGCACCCGGATGGACTCAAAGACCAGGAAAGTATAGTGGCCGGGATTAGATAGCATATTGCCTTCTGGAAGAGGGGGTTGGTGTTTGGTGGAGAATCCTATTTTCAGAGGTGCAAGCCTTTGCTCGAATACTGGGAGAAGATTATATCTGCTATCCAAAATGGGCCGGTTGTATATGAAGAATTGGAAGAGTCCTTTTGGCCAGAACCCAGAGCACTAGATAGTAGCGGAACAATGTCCTCTGGAAATGCAGTGACAGATAACGATGTTGAGGATCACTATTGTGGGCCGAGGAACAAGAAGCCGGATTCAGCATTCAATCCAGTACAGGTCTGCAAAGGAATGGTCGTGCTTGTCAGACCCAGTAATAAAAAACAAATGATATGGGTGGGGCGCTGCATCACTGATGCAGAGGAGGACGCGGAAACTAACTCCTTCAATGTAACTGTGGAGTGGTTCAAGCCAAGTTCCGGATATACGAAGGATTGCCTAGAAAAGAGATGGGTGCTAAATCCAAGGGATCCCAGCATGAGCATATCGGTGGATAATGTTGTGCATGGTTGGATGCGGAAGCAGAGTGCCACCATCACCTTGCCAGACCATGCAAGAGATGCAGCAAGAGCATTCATAACTCGGGTTCAAGGTGAGATTCATTAATATTCCTTTACAAAGTTTCTAATGTATTTTATTTCAAGGTGAACAATCCGAATCTGAATCAGAGGAGGCTTGATATAGTGTGTGAGGTAAAACAAAGATGATGTGACATATGCATTTACCAATCACACGTGCATAAATCTAATAATATGGCGTGTGGCCCATATTAATGGCACATAAACCCATATTGTGGGCTTACGTGCTTTATGTACCATCATTCCCTTGCAGCGTGTGTGTTGGTTTCCTTTTATAACACAACGAACTCCATATTTTAGGGTGAAGAGCGTTCTCATGGCAAGCACAAAATCTGTAAGTGAGGCAGAAAAGGAGACGGAGAAGGAGATAGGTGAAGATGTAGAATATATAAGTCTTCCAAACTCCCCGTACTATACTCCAGGTGATCATTTTTCTGAACAAACGGCAACATTAACAACTATCGAGAACGCCCCAGTAACGTCAGAGACAACAATCCAAAGCAAAACAACTGACCCGGAGAAGGATGATAGTACCGCTGAGAGTACCAAAAAGGAGGTGTCCACTAGCGCTTAGGCTTATAATGGCGTGTGCCCTCATGCCATTTACTTGATCACCAAATACTTTTTTCCCTTTGCACTAGTATATCTTAATACCGGTCTGAGAAATAGAATGGCATGTGCCCTCAGGCCTTTTACTAAATCACCTTTGAAAGAAATGCAAGCCTCTATGTCGTAAAAAAAAGGTACTAGAGAAATTCCTTAATAATATGAATGTTATTTAGTTTCATGAAAATACACTAAGGGTCAAATGAGTTAAATGACTTCTCCAGACTAGCAATGCCTCTTGCTACACCTTCACAATTAGATTCGTTAGAAAAAGATAACATTGAATAATATCTAAATGTTCTCACCATTAAGTTATATGTCTGGCTAATAGGAATGATGTTCATCTTGGAAAGCTCACCACACGCTCAATGAACAAACAAATAGTGTGTGCGCGCATGCCATCGCTCTTCTTTAGCTTCAGATTCGGCTTGTTCACCTTGACAATGAGATTTATTATACAACTAGATGGACTCAGTCTGGACATAAGGTCACCGCGCTAGTCACCATGCCCCAGATATGTCTAGCCCCTGGACAAAAAACATATAATTTCACGTCATTTTCAAATACTTGAAAATTTGTACCTAGTCCCATTTTACTGAATAAATCCCACTTTAACGAAATAGAGCTTATGGGTACTCTCCCCACTTTCTGCCTTTGAGTGTTCTAGCCATGGGGTTAGAGTGAGGTTTCATTGAGCCATGCCAAGTATCCAAGGAAATAGTGCTACCTATGATTAGACTGAGAGTATCGACCATTCGATCTTTTGGGGGAACTAGAGCCAACTCTTGAACACTTCACCAAGCTACCCCTGTTTATCAATCTGTATTCATTATAGCCTATATTAGTATTTAGATTCGAACTCAAACTCGGTCTCGGACTTAGACTTGGTCTCGGCCTCAGTCCCAATTCCATTTTGGACTCCATCTCAGACTCCATCTCAGTTCCATCTCGGACTACATCTCAGACTCCATCTTAGGTGTATCTTGGATTTCATTTCGGACAACATCTCAGGTCTATTTTAGATTTTTTCTCGAGTCCACCTTGGACTCCATCTTGGACTCTATCTCAAGTCCATCTCGGACTCCTTCTTGGGCCTATCTTATACTCCATCTCAAACTCCATCTCAGGTCCATCTTAAGTCTTATTTTAGACTCCGTCTCAGGTCCTTTTTCTAGAGACTCACTTACAACTTGCTTCATGTTCATTCCCTGAGCACTTTGTTAGGAGTTCCACTCCCACTTTTGACTATCTAAGTTAAAGCTTTTTAGTCCAAATGTGTTGCATTTGTTTAGCTTCTACTTCAGCCACTATCAGATACCATTGTTTCAGCTCCACTTTGGGGCTTAAGGATTTGTGTTTCACATATATTCATTATTATCTCGGTCCCCTTATAGGTTTTTACTTAAACAAACCAAAAATAATTTGTTACACATTGCATATAATTTAATGAATTTATTAATTCAATGTATCTAATGGAAGTTTATAATTATAAACATGCTTATAATTTATAAACACAAGATTAATCTTATTAAATATCAACAATTAGATGGTAGAATAAACTAGAATATAGTAAGAAGTGTTTAAGAAAGTTTATAAATTAGAAATACAAAATTTATCTAAATGAATAATAAATTGTTTTATGTTGCATATAACAACACTTAGTTTGCTTAATAGTAGTGTTATTCTTGCCACTAAGATTAGATATTGGTAGTTCACACAGATCTAAATACTATTAAACTTACTAAAATACCTATTTAATAAAAATATTGCCACTAACTTAATAGAATATTCTTTAGCGTGCTAGAATATTCTTAATATTCTTGTCAATGGTAATGGTTCTCTTGGCTCCCTGTTGACATGGCTCCCTATATTGGCAGATTCATGTATGGTTGTCTGTTGGGAAGAGGTAGATCCTTCAGGATTTCTGCCACAGCTTTGAGTGAGTATTATCATTTGTTTGCACCAAGACTCTTTCATGAATCCATAGATTTGGTACTTAGAGTTGCCACAGCTTTGAGGTATGTAACTAGTCTTTGAAATCTTCAATTCAATATTGATGTGGATTGATGCTAGAGGAGTCTTGGGTTTAGAGATTCAGGTATGTCCAGCTTAGTATGTAAGAGTTCACTGTTTCACCTGTGGCTTGAACTACCACTACTTTCTACATTGTCTATTATGTTTGGCAAAGGTAACATACAAATAAACAATGCTGATACTTTATTCTCCAAGACTGCAGCCTCAAATTAATTTCTCTACTAAGCAATACTTGTACAATGCCTTGATGGACAATGCCTTTTTATCAGTGAAGTAGTAGAGTTGATGCTGCTCAAAGATTGGACAAATATGCACATGATGCATTGAGAGTTTTGATAAGTAATTTTTATATGTATCAGCTTCAATGTAGGTGCTAGTTATATCATCATTAAAATATACAAAATAAAGAACTATAAATTTGCATACAATAATAATGATAAGATAGTAGTGTTATTCTTACTTATTAATCCAATTGATCAAATAAAGTTTATAATTATAAGCATGTTTGTAATTTATAAACACAAGATTAATTTTTATTGCATATCAACCATTAGATGATAGAATAAAAAAGAATATACTAGGAAGGGTTTAAGAATGTTTATAAATTATAAACATATTTATAAATTATAAATACAAGATTAATCTAAATGAATAACAACCGTTAGAAGGTAGAATATCCTAAAATATTGAAGCATATTTTAGGTATATTCACTACTAACAGGTTTGCAGCAAACCAAGATGGTAAAATATTCTAGAATATCCAAGCATATTTTATCTATATTCACTATCATTAAACAAACCAAAAATTGATCAGATGCAATGCATCACCAGATATAAACTATGTAATTTTTTTATAATATTACATACTATTTTGTCATTTTTAAGTAGATGCTTCTTTCACCACGGCACGGCACCACATATGGCAGACTAGTATTTAACTCCACTTGGGCCCAGTGTTTGTGTGTGCCTATGGCGGAAGAGCGTGTGGCGATTGTAATCGGCGTGACCGGCATCAATGGGAACAGCATCTGCCGCAAGCTCCTGGAGCAGGGATCCTGGCAAGTCTACGGCACGGGGCGCCGCGATCGCCCCGACTGGCTGCCCAGCAAGGTGAGCTACGTGCAGCTGGATCTGCTGGATGGGGTGGATGTGCAGACCAAGCTGTCGCCGCTCAAGAACCGCATCACGACTCTCTTCTGGGCGGCCTGGATCCCCATGCAAACGGAGGAGGAGAACTGCGATGCGAATGGGACGATCTTCCGCAACACCCTCGACGCTCTGCTTCCAGGCGCGCTCCGCCATGTCTGCCTGACCACGGGGGCGAAGCACTACGTGGGGCCGTTCGATCAGTGGCAGGATGTGATGCCCGCGGAGGTTCCGTTCCGGGAAGACTCTCCCAGGCTTCCGGTCCCCAACTTCTACTACGTCCAGGAGGATCTCCTGTTCGACAGGGTGAAGCAGCACCCGCATCTCACGTATTCGATCCACCGCCCCGGCGCCATCTTCGGATTCGCGCCCAGGAACTATATGAACTGTATCCTGGCGCTGGCCGTCTACGCCGCGATCTGCAAGCGCGACAAGCTGCCATTCCGATTCTTCGGGAGCAAGGCGACATGGGAGGGCCTGATAGATGCATCCGATGCGGATCTGATTGCCGAGCAGGAGATCTGGGCTGCCACGCATCCGGCTGCCAAGAACCAGGCGCTCAATACCACCAACGGGGATGTGTTCAAATGGAAGCGCCTCTGGGCTGTGATCGCGGACGAGATGGGGGTGGATCCTGTCCCGTTCGACGGCGAGAGCTTCAACCTGGAGAGTCTGATGAAGGGGAGAGATGGGGCCTGGGATGCGCTTGTGCACGAGCATAAGCTGCTGCCGACAAAGTTTCAAGATGTTGGGCAGTTTTGGTTCCTGGATGCAATGTTCGCGGCTCCGGTGGAGAACTTGTGCAACATGAACAAGAGCAAGGAGCTCGGGTTTCTGGGATTTCGAAACAGCGAGAAGTCTCTGCAGCACTGGATCCAGGTGCTCAAGGCGGAAAAGATCGTGCCCTAGTTCGCTGGTCGCAGGCGAATAAGCGGTCTGCTAACTTTGGGAAAGATTCGGAGACTCCTCCTGCGACCAAATAAGCGAATAAGCGGTAAAGCGAATAAGCGAATAAGCGGTTTGCTCTTCCCCAAGAACGCATGTACAGAATCGAGTCCAGTCCAGTCTTTGTGTGTTGGTCTTTCTTTAAAGTATAGTAATGCTTGCGGCGTGATTATTATCACTTGAGATCGATAACATGGACCTGTATACATTATTTTCTAATTGAAGTGTTTGTGTTGCTTCATGGTATTGCCTCTTGTTGTTACGTTGATGATGAGGAGCTGTTAATAGTTTTTGTGGACTGAAAAGACTTTCCTTTGGGACTTCACACTTGCCTAACATGTCTATTATGGTATAGCCCATCCTAACGTCAGCCTCCACCTGGATCAGCTCAGCTGATCAACAACCTTTGAGTAGACTACACACCACTTGAAATTAAATAAATCAAAGAGTTCTTTGCATCATAGGCCGAGATCATGCTAACCACGTCCTTTATGAGAATTAGATAGATAGTTTTTGTAAACGTCCCCTATTCTAAGTTTTTTTTTTGTGGACACATTCACATAAAGAAAATGTATATATATTAGATTATATAAAAAGAACATTTTTATAAGATAGATATAATTCTTCAAAGGTGTTCTAAGCCGTTAGATTGCCTCCAGCTGCAGGACGGCTGGGATTTTCTGGGTCCTTAAAATTATTGGAAAATAAAAACCTTTTTTCTCTCAGGAACCCTAAACCCACCGTGAATATGTGGTTTAGGGTTCTAGGGCAGCATGAGGCGCTGCATTGGCGCCCTCCGTCGGGCGTCTGGGATGACGATGCTCGTCCCGGACAGCAATCCTCGCGCAGGGTCACAGGCAAATGCGGCAATGTCCGTGGAATGGCTGCAAGAAATGAAAGAGGAGAGCGCCAGGAGGGTGCGGGAGCAAGCAGCGCGGATCCAAGCGCTGGAAGAAGGTGAGAGGCTGCTGAGAGCGCATTCCAGATCGCTGCTGGGCAGCTACAAGGGCCGGGTGACGCCGATCGCCGCCGCATTCGCCATCGGCAAGACGAGGAATCCGGCGGAGGCGAGGGCGCTCTTCGATTGGGCGGGCAAGCAACCGGGATTCATCCACAATGGCGAGACGTGCGCGGCGCTACTGCGCGTCTTCCACAAGGCCCGCCTCGCCGGCGATGCCTTCGCACTCTTCACGAGAGACCTCTGGCGCTACTGTGCTCGCAGCGCCATTGCTTACAAGACCATGGTGGAAGGCTACTGCTACGTCGGGGATATGGATCCGGCAACGAGGATTCTAGCACAGATGGAGAAAATGGGATTCCACATTGATGTCGGCCTCCACAACGCGATTATCAGGGGATTGATCAGGGCCAAGAGAGTCGACGACGCACTGGATCACTTTGCAAAGATGGAAAAGAACCGTGACACGGATCTTGAGTCTTACTCCATCGTCGTCTCGGCGCTGTGTGATGAGAAACGAGTGGACAAGGCGGTGGATCTCCTCTACAGCATGAACGAGGAAAGCTTCTTGCCGGATGTTGGGATCTACAACAGGATCATCGAGGCGATGTCTGAGCTCCAACTCCACGGCGCTTACTTGCTGTTCGAGCAGATGATCGAGGCTGGTGTTCTTCCAAACTCTGCGACTTTCAGCTTCCTTGTTCGTGGCTGCTTCAAGCGGGGATTTCTCGACGAGGGCAGCGAGTTGCTGCGGCAGATGGTGGAGTCCGGCTGCGTCCCGGAGCTCGCAACCTTCAACGCCGTGATCGAGGGGCTGTGCAAAGTTCGTCGCGTGGAAAACGCGCGATGGGTGATGAACGAGATGGCTTCGCAGGGATGCTCTCCGGACGCTGCAACGCACAGGTTCTTGCTCGAGGCGCTGTGCAAGATGGACAAACTGGACGAAGCTCACCGCCACGTCCAGAGGATGATCGCTACCGGGTGCTTGCCGGACACGGTCACGTACTCGTTCCTCATCAAGAAGCTCTGCAAGGAAGGGAGGCCGATGGAAGCTCACAGGTTTTTCAAGGAGATGATTGGGATCGGTCGCGAGCCGGACAGCTCCATCTACAACTTGCTCCTGGCGAGCCACTGCGCCGCGAGCAAAGCCACCGCATGCTACGAGCTCTTCACCCAGATGAAGGAGAGGGGAGTTCTTCCGGAGCCCAGGAACTGCCTCAATCTCGTCCGGCTGCTCCACAAGTTCCACAGATTTGCTGAGGCCAGAGAGGTCGGGAACGCAATCCCGGAGGTTCCTTTGCTACTCCTCCGATGATCAGTGCTTTCTCGGATCTTCTCGGATGAACTAGTGATCGATTTCTCTGATCGAGCGAGCGCGAGCTTAGAAGAAGAGCAAGAAGATAAAATCTGGGAATATACCTCGTTTTTGAAATTGGAGATGGCGCAGTTAGAGTTAGGGTTAGGGCTTTAGAACAGAGGGCGAGGGCCTGGGAGAATGCAAGCGGCATGCGCTTGGAGCGGGGCATGGATCGTCCGCCATGATTCTGCGAGAAGCGTGGAATTTTCGCTAGTGTGAGCTCAAGATCCAGCGCAAGAAATGGCGGATGACGACGAGGAGGCCGTGCGCAAGGAGAAATTGAGGGCGCAGGAGGCCATGGGAGGATTTGAATTGAAGGCATTTGAGGCTCTGGAGCGGGATTTTCAAGAGGTAGAGCTTTGATTTTTCTTTTTCTGTGTGAAATCTCTGGTTTTGTTTTACTAAGAGAGCCGCCAGCTCGTATTGTGTAGGTTCTGCAAGAGTTACAAGCGGATAAATCTCTCGATCGCTTTCGAATTGAGTATGAGAAGCTGCACAGGGCTCTCAAGAAATCTCATGGTATGCCTTCTTTGCTAGTAAAGTTTGTGTTTTATTTTTCACTTTCTTTTCTTCCAGAGAGCGAGAAAAGACTCATAAAGAAATGCCGAGAGCTCAACACGGAGATTTTGGCAAATGCTTCCAAAGTCCAGAATGCTCTGAAGCTCAACGAGGAGGATCAAAACACTATACTTGCTTTGAAGAAAGAGATAGACAAAGCATGGAAAATGGTGGATGCTTCTCAAGAGAAGGAGGCCAAGGCGAAAGACAATATCCTGTAAGCGATACTATTTTCTTTCGCAGTCATTTTACTCGCTTGCTTTTTCTTTCGACCCGCTTTGATTGCAGACAGCTAAAGACCGAAATTGCGAACCTGAGTCAGATAATTGAGCAAGGATGTGGTCTGAGCATGGGACAGGAGCAAGAGGTAAGTGAATCATGAATTCTTTGTTTTGTTATTATGGCTGTTTCTATACTTGCAGCTAAACGAGTTGTTGAAACAAAAAGAAGACCTGACTTTGGAAAGGGACCTGCAATTGGATCAAATAGTTCAGCTTCGCAAGGAAGTGACCGATCTTAGCGAGAAACAGAAGGTAGCGGAGGAGCAGAAGATTTCTATGGAGCAGGACGTTGCTAGTCTTCGAGAGCAAATCGCTGCGAAGAAATCAGAAAGTGAAAGGTAGATGCAACTCGTTTGCGTGGCTGATTACTCAAGTAGATGTAACTTGTTCTAGGGAGCAAAAGAAGAAGGAGAGAATGGAAAAAGACATCAAGGACTTGAAGATGTCTTTGGAAGCAAAGCAGAATGACATCCGAGTTAAACAAGCAACGCTTACAGAAAATGAAGAGCAGGTTGCCCGGCTAGAGCTAGCGCTTCGAGAACAAAGACAAGCAACCGAGAAAGCTCAGAAGGAGCTCGATATTGTGACTCAGAAGGTCACTCTCGAAGCGATGTCCTTCACTTTGCTTACAGCAGATAAACCTGAAGAGTGGCTTTTACTGCTAACATCAGGTTACAAAGCTTCACGGGGACCTGGAAGAGCAGATACACGGGAACACTCAGCTCCTCGCCGAGAATAGTCAAAAGCAAGTGGAAATGAAGCTTAAAGACGAGGAAATTCAGGTTCTCAAATCTGAGATAGCGCGCGTAAACAAGGTCTGTGAGCTTGCAAGTTGACTCGTTCGATACCAAGTGTGCTAATCAATCAATTGCAGATACGGGAGGCTACAGTGAACAAGCTGAAGGGTGCAGAGAAAGCGAAGGAGGACGTGGAAAAGCAGCGGGACTCTGTCAAAAGCGACGTCGTGAATCTAGAAAGGGAACTAGAAGCGCAACGTAAACTGACAGAGCAAGAACGTAAGCGTCAAGAAGATCTGCTGCGGGAGCGGGATGTGTTGAACAAGTTGAAAACACAGGTACATTTCATTTATGCCAGTGGTTGCTTTGCTGATTGCTTCCAACACCTCAGGCAGAGACTGCTATCGAGAAGCAAAGCGATCTGGTGAAGATCAACGAGGTCGCTGTACATAACCTGGAGATTGAAATACAGACATACCGACAGTCATCTGCGAAACAAGAGAAAGTGATACAGCAGCTCGAGAAAGAACGACAAAAGTACGGTGCTGAGGCCACTCAGGCTGGCGTCAAGTACATGCAGGTTCTTCTGTTTCATGGCTGCTTGATTGCCATACGTATTTACTTTGAGATTGCAGGCATTGGATGAAGTTAAATCCCGAGAGGTTACTATCATGGAGCTCCAGAAAAAAATTCTAGAAGCAGAAAACAAATACAAAATTCAGCAGAACCTCTACGAGTCTGTGCGGAGCGAAAGGAACCTCTACAGCAAAAACCTGGTCGAGGCTCAAGACCAGATTGACGAATTGAGACGAAGGATCAAAATAATGAACCACCAGATCGAACAGTTGAAAGAGGAAATAAATGCCAAGGATCAAGCGCTAATCAAAGAACACGCAGACCATGCTAAGGTATGTTTTCCTGTTTCTTTTTCGTGGTATGACTATACGCTGTTTAACAGATTGAGAAAGAAAGAGAAGCGTTGAAGCAAGATCTTAGCAAAATTCACCAAGAAATCAGGGAGGCGGAGTCAGTCATTGGATCGCATCTGTCTACCATTGAAAATCTCAATCACATCATCAGCGAAGCGGACGACGAACGCTCTCGGCAAAAGAAGGAACTTGATGTCATTAAAAGCGAGAGAGATATCCTAGGAACTCAGGTGAGGTTGTGGTTGCCTTTCTGTCTGTCTGACTTTGCGCGTTTCTTTTTCCGCTGAAACAGCTCATGAGAAGAAACGAGGAGCTTGCATTGCTCTATGAAAAAATCAAAATTCAGCAGTCCACGTTAACGAAAGGACAAGTCCAGTATCGTTGTCGGCTGAACGAACTCCGACTTTTGAAGATCAAGATAACAGATTTGAAGCGTGAGCAGAGTATATTGAAAGGCTCCGTCAACAACATTCAAGTTTTGAAGCGAGAAGTTCACAATCTCAGCCGAGAGCTTCTTCAGGAGCGCACAAAGGTTCGCTAATAAAACCACTGGATCAATTTCTAACCGCACTTTTTTTTTTCTGTGTGTGTGTGTGTGTGTGTGTGTGTGTGTGCCAGGTAAAAGCACTGTCGGAGGAGCTAGAGAATCCTCTCAATGTGCATCGGTGGAGGCAACTCGAAGGAACTGATCCCAGCGCTTATGAAATGATATTGAAGATCCAAACTTTGCAGAAGCGGTTGATCTTAAAGACCGAGCAGGCAAGTGAAGCACTTCGTCTATTTGTTTTCTTGTTTCCATTTGTTCTTCTTTCGGCCGTCTGACATGTCCGAGTTCTCTTCCAGGTCGTTGAGAAGGATCTGCTTATTCAAGAGAAGGAGAAGCTGTATGTGGAGCTTCGAAACATCTTGGCAAGACAACCGGGACCAGAGATGGTAGAACAATTGGCGGTCTACTCGAAAAGTCTCAAGGAGAAGACGAGGCAAATGAAAGCAATGGCATCCGAGCTGCAAATGTATCAGGTTGGTTTTTTCTCTTCGCGTTCTGTTCTCTCTCCTTGTGATTGAGCAACTCTTCATCTCTGAATCATCATAGGGGCAAGTTTATGGATACAAGGCCGAGATTGAGCAGCTCAAAGGCGAGATTGACTCGGTGAAGAAGAAGTTTTTCGAGCACAAGAAGAAGGAGCAATTGGAGAGGGAGCGGAGAAAAGATTTGGACTCGCAAGGGTCGAATTTCTCGTCGGGGAACAATCCGCTCAACAAAGGCTTCCTGGGTGGAGGCTACAATCTACAATCTACGTGATTCTATCAATCACTCGGCAATGTATATACCATAGCTTGGAAAATTTAAATAAAGGCATATATATAAGTGAGAGGACTTGGCAATTTGGAGGGACTAGGTTCCTAAGCTATGATCCGTAGCGCGCTTTGGAGATAAATTGGTGCACCAACGTGGGGAGTCATGCCAAGCATCTAGGGTGATGTCGTCCGTAGATGCATATATGGAGGTTGGGTTCAAGTCCCAACCCTCCAGTGTTTGGGTTTAAGTCCCAAATCACTAGGGCGTGGTGATAGTTTGGAATATGAGGACATTCATATTTCGGTGATCATGAACTCTCAGTAGGGAGATTGGCTTGGGCACACTACCAAGCAGGGGATGCTCCGGAGTCGTGATGCATGGTTAGATTGCTTAGAGTGAAAGCTCAGCATATATAACTTAAAAACACTTTGGTGCAAAGGGCACCAAAGACGTGGTGAATGAGATGGGGACACCCAATCTCAGTTGCTATGGATCCTTGGCCAAAAGGGCTGACTTGGGCGCACCGCCAAGTGTGGGGGATGCCCCTAAGGTCATAGTCAACAATTTAAAAGGGTCTAGAAGACTTTAGTGGTAGACCTGTTAAGGGGTTAAGATGAGGTCACTAGGTGATCTTGTGGCTAAACAAGGACAAGGTCTTTGTTTGGGTTAAGGAATATGATTCCTAGTTCAAAGTGTTGATTTGAACTATTGATAATGGTGTGGCTTGGTCAAGGTGACCAAGTGGGAAGGACACCTAAAGAGAAATCAGTTGTGCCAATACGATGGTATAATAAGTCTAAGAAAGTAGTCTCTAGGAGAGAGCTATGGGAGGGTCGCAAAGTTGGGCTGTGGACAGAGGCTGTAATAGAAAATGCTAAAGAAACCTACTAAGGGTGAGCACCCTCTGGATTTAGCAAAGTAGAGTTTTTGCTATGGAACCAAAAGGATACCTTGAAAATGGAGGTAGTGACCCTATGTTGCTTAGTGCAACAATCAACGAATAAAAGCAAAAGACTAATGGCCAAGTGTGGGCCATGAAGTTCATTAGAAAGAATCCAAGTGGCAAAGTTAGGCATGAAACACTAAGGTGTTAGATACTAACGGATTGTGAGAAAGAAAGTATGCTTCCAAGGATAGATTCTCAAATGCTCTAAATTGGCAAAAGTGAAAGCTCCAAGGGAAAGAGCGGCAAAATAGCCAAATGATAAGACCATGGACAGCTCTAGCACAACTTATGATAATTAGAACTTCATGCCAAAGGTGGCACAAAATAGAAAGGAGGATGATAATGCCCTTAAATAGAGGACTTCTAAGGATGAGGAAGTGGAGTTGCACAAAAAGTGCGATGCAAGGTGTTGGAGACACCTAAGAAATTGACTATGAAAAGTCAAAATTAAAAAAGTTCCAGAGTGCAAGTTTATATCAATGAGAACTAAGACTACTCAAGAGCCAGTAGTGGGATTGAGATAGAGGAGGTGCCTTTAATGGGTTTAGCAAAAACTAAACCACTAAAAGGGAAAGAACCACTATAGATGGTCGATCGAGTCTCTATGTTAGAGAGGCTATGCTCCTTAGAGGTTGGACAAGGCATGGTGAGCCTTTGGTGTTAAACCATTGATAAATATTGGCTAAGTGCCAAAAATGGAAAATGTGATACATGCTGGTGCCAAAAACAAGAAGGGCTGAAAAGGTAATCAACAATACCGATCTCTTGCCGTTGTGGCAGTAAGAAAAGAATATCCAAAAAGAGTAGCTGACAAATAACTTTTGATACCCACAATCACATTTGCAAGAGTGAATAAGCACAGCAAAAAGCTACAGTTCGGTCAACTAGAGCTGATCTCCCAATAGAAGTATGCCATATTTGCAAGTCTACCAAAACCCATGATCTAGGTTTTGGCAATTTCCATATCTATAGAATTTACTTGGCACATCTAAGTTGACATGCATTTGAGTTGTGTTTGGAGCCAGCATAGATCGTCATCAGCATATAGTAGTACATAGAGAAAAATGCTTTCTCTGCAGCATAGTTCCATATAGACCTCAAACAACATCAACCAGAGGGGCCTGGGGCACCCTTATAGAACCCCCGAACAAGAGTCAATTGGCTGGCTATCCACTATTTGCAAACTCAAAGTCTTGTATAATTTGATGATTGCAGCTACTGAGGAGGTAGATGGGGATTTGGAGTTCCAGCAGATGCCAAATCAAAAGATGCCATAAGACACAATTGAAAGCTTTGGTTAAATCAACAAAACCCAGGAGAAGCACTTGGTTCCCCTTAAATGTAGCTGTTTGAACAAGACATGGAGGATTAGCAGTTGGTTGATGCAGGAGTAATGCCTATGAAGGCCTGCTTGACCTTGTGCATGCTGCCAAGTTTTTTCTCTATAAGGCAGGCAAACACCTTCACAAAAGCTACCAACATTGCTAACTCACTTGTGGAGATTTTATTATAAGTAAAATTTCCTTCATTGAAGTTGGATCATTCTTTTATACTAGTACTTTTCTTTTGGACAATGATATCTTTTTCTTTAAAACACTTTGTATTTTATTTTAAAAGTTTTTAACTGTACTTGTGGCCCAAGCAGCATACAGTTTACCTGGGCTGGACTTGAAAACATGATACAGCACCACATTTCTATCTCTTTGTATAGTCAGAAATGCATAGCATGGCTCATCACAAGACTTATCTAGCGACCATTAAGGTTTCTTTGATAACCATGTTCCCATTAAGTTGGACTGTGAGATAGCAATCTACTCCTCTCCCACACACTCCATTTGTTCAAACTTGCCCTCGGCTGGCTTCATTCACAGACAAGCTACAATCATCCTGGAGCTTGAATGTGTAGATCAAATTCGGGGACTGGAGCTCAAAGTTTCGACGAAGACCATTGTAGAAGAAGTTGTCCAGCATTGTCAATTTTGCTTGGCAATTGCCTCGGTCGCTGCCAAGTAAAATCTTAGTCTGGTTGTGAAGGGTTTCCATCTGTTGATCTGCTGGTGCTATGCGATACTGGACTCCAAACATCTCGGAGACTGCAAGCATGCTGCTGGCTAGAAAAATTTGCATTTGACCTCTTGTATACATTACTAAGGTTCGGATGATTGCTTTGATAACAAGGCCCCTCACGCTGATGGTGTTACCTGGATTGACATGGCAGAAATCCAGATTGGGGCCTGTATGAAAAGCTACGATGGCAATGTCGATCACTACGTTGTTTGTCACAGTGACTTGATTGATATAAACTGAGTAAGTATTGTCATCGAAAATGTCTGCAAGTGCAATCACCGTATCTAGAATAATATTGGCATCGGCTGCTGTTATAGCATTGCGCTCGTCAGAGAATTCCCAACGCATGGCTAACAACACTAATATAAAAAAGGAGTGCTGAAAAACATTCAATGAGAGGATACATTTAGAATGATTTTTGCTAGAAACAATCAAAAAGAAAAACTATTTCTTGTTATAATGATAAATTACTAATTTATGTTACTTTATAAAAAGGTTTATCGTTCGATGAGGACATCGAACTTCGTTTATGGGTGGTGGAGTTGTGAGACACAAATCCCTAAGCCCCAAAGTGGAGCTGAAAGGGTGCCACGTGGTAGTGGCCGAAGTGAAAACCAAACAAGCGTAACACGTTTGGACTAAAAGGCTCCGACTTGAAAAGTCGAAAGCGAAAGTGGAGCTCCCAACGGAGTGCTCAAGAAACGAGCATGAAATGAGCAATAAAAGAGTCTCTAGAAAAGGGACACAAGAGGACCCAAGATGGACCTGAGATGGAGTCTGATATGGAGTCCGAGATGGACTCGAGATGGAGTCTAATATAGAGTTCGAGATGGAGTCCGAGATGGAGTCTGAGATGGAGTCCAAGATGAAGTCCGAGATGGAGTCCGAGATGAACCCAAGATAGAGTCCGAGATGGACCCGAGATGGAGTCCGAGAAGGACCCGAGATGGAGTCCGAAGTCGAGACTGAGACCGAGACCGGGACCGAGACCGGGGCCGAGACCAAGATCGAGACCGAGTCCGAGTCCGAGTCTGAGTCCGAGTCCGAGCCAAAGTCTGAGTCCGAGTCCAAGTCCAAGTCCGAGTCCAAGTTTGAGTCTGAGAGGGTGAAAGCCCAAAGCATTCGTCTCCCAGACCCTGGGGGGTTTGGTGAGCTCCAAAAGTATAGTAAGGGGGAGGACTCCAGTGGAGCTAGTTTGGCCAGGAAAGGCCAGTTTGGCCTAGGAAGGCTATGCCCAGGTGTTGGGTGACGGGATAACCACTAGGAGGTCCAAGGCTAGAGTGAATACGGACTATCAAGCAGGGTAGCTTGGTGAAGTGTTCAAGAGCCAGCTCTAGTTCCCCCGGGAGATCGAATGGTCAATGCTCCCAATCCGAGTGTGGGTGGCACTATCTACTTGGATACCTAGCGTGGCTCAATAGAACCTCACTCTAAGCCCATGGCTAGAGCACCAAAAGGTGGAAGGTGGAGAGAGTACCCATGAGGCTTGTGTAAGGCCACGGTGTTCCGAAATATTGTCCCAAAGTCCCAGACTATGGAAAGGAAGAGGAGTGGTCCTTTGGTGTAGTGACCAATGATACGGTCATGTGGTGAGGAAGTCCTAGAGGACAGTGGGACTTAATGGTCGGGCCTATAGGCCTTGTCCCAGTGGCAGTGTTGGCGAACACGGCCATGGGCAAAAAAAGTACTTGGTGGGGATTGTAAAAGGGATATTGGGGAAAGTTGTTCCCCATGTCTACAGGCATCTTAAGGATGCTAAGGAGTGGATCTTGGATGGTCACTCCTGAACGGATAGCCCAATCCTTGAGAGACGGGACTACGATGTAGGTGGTGTTGGACCACTGGTTTGACCAAGGTGAAGGGGCATAGCCTTAGTGTAATGGGCTAGTATGTCAGTGGTACCTTGGGGTGTCAGTCTTGGGACCGGGCACGTGGAGCACTTAGACTAAGTGCAAGGGATGAGTGGCATGGATGCCATTCTCGGGGCTAGCAAGTTCCAAGTCTTGAATTGGACTTAAGGAGGTTGTGAATGAAACTCCTCCAAGTGGTCAAAGGTGTCATT